TGACAGGTCGTTGGAATGCCTAATTCCCGAAATGTCTCGAAATATCATTCCTTGTCAAATAAAAGTCCAGATTGTTCGAGAAGGTTTTAGAAGGTCGAGGCAAGCTATATAAGTCGACGACCTGACGTCAGGGGGAGTTTTATAATAAACGTTACATGTTAATGTTATCAGTTGTAAAGTTATTGTCAAAGTTGAATTGAGTTATTGTAAAGTTGAACTGAAATAAATTGTGATACCAAAAACCAGTGTAACATTGGTGGCAGCGGTGGGATACAAAGTAGAAGTTCATGGTAAATACTAGATTCACTGAGTACGAAGCAGGCATGGACACTTCAGGCCCACCAGCATGGTTTTTGAGGATGGAAGAGGAAAAAGTGAGGCGAGAAGAGGAAAAGGAACGACGAGAAGAGGAGAAGGAAAGGCGTAGGAAGGAAGAAGAGGAGGAAAAGAAACGGCGTAGGAAGGAGAAAGAGGAAGAAAAGGAACAGCGAGAAGAGGAGAAGGAAAGGCGTAGGAAGAAAGAAGAGGAGGAAAAGGAACGGCGTAGGAAGGAAGAAGAAGAGAAGAGGGAAAGGCGAGAAGAGGAGAAGGAGGAGAGGCATAGAAAAGCAAAGGTAGAAATAATGAACGGTTTGCTACAAATCCAGGAAACTTTCAAGCAAGAGGTTAGTCGGCCTAAAATTAGAATAGATCTGCTAGAGCAACAACAAGAGCATCTAAAAGCTAATTTAGAGAAACAGCAAGAGAATTTGAAAGCTAATTTAGAACAACAAGAACAGGCTAGACTAGAGTTGGAAAGGCAAATTAGAGCCGAAATGGCTAAGTTAGAAAAAAGAATTTACAGCCAAGCTTTAGTAAACAGCATTGAAGCTGCAAACACTACTACCTCGTCTTCATCCATAACCGAACCAAGCCACATTCGAATCCCAGTTTCACAAAACTATACTAGCAAGACCCTTAAGCCACCCACGTTTGACGGTCAGACAACATGAGAATCATATCGAATCCAATTTGAAGCTGCAGCTAGAGCCAATGGCTGGACCGAGAAAGAGATGGCGGCTTCATTAATAGTTTCACTGCGAGGTCAGGCAGCAACCGTTTTACAGTTACTTCCTCAAGAGGAACCCAGTTATTCATCTCTCGTCTAAGCTTTGGAGACAAGATATGGCCAGCAGCATTTGCAACGGGTATTCCAAAGCCAGCTAAAGGTTCGTAGTCAGAAACATAATGAGAGTCTACAGAATTTGAGGCTGATATAAGAAGGTTGATTCATCTGGCCTATCCACAGATGCCGAAAGATTTCCAAGAACAACTCGGAATACAAGCATTCATTGATGGACTACAAGATGTGAAAATGCAGCAAGTCCTTCGTCTATGACATCACAAGACGCTGAGGGAGAAACTGATTGCAGCTCAGGAATATGAAGCGGTGAAACTCCTATCCAAATCTTCTCGCGCAAAAATAAGAGAAATTAAATCCCAGGAAAGTGAGGAGGCCAATAGTAATGGTATTCCCCAACCTACCCTCTCGCAAATACTAAATATCCTGCAAAATATGCAACGAAATAGTCAAAATAAGAACAGAAGATGCTTCAATTGCGGAAGAATCGGGCACCTTCAAAGAACCTGTAAAAGCAGAGCTCGTTTTATGAACAGAAAATCATGGAATGAGGCCGGAAAGTTACATAGATCAATCTTCCGAAGCCCGTCACGAAGTCCGACAAGAAATAGTCACAGCAGCTATGCGTCCCAAAAAAGTCAATCACCCACACCGAGCCGACTTTCTAGCAATAATCAGGAAGTAGAGCATCGTAGAAGCCGTCTCCATAGCAACGCAGATATTCTCTCCAGGCGACCCTGTTTAGAACGAGAATACCGGTATAGTAAGGGACTCGGAGAACCAGTTGATAAAGTTACCCTTCGGCCAACCACTATCAAACTAGAGGGAGATTAAGAAGAAATCATCCTTGAAAACCTGAGAAAGGGGCAGAAGACAGACAATGATTTGAAAGTTGTTCGAGAATGGCTCAAAAATAAAGTTACACCTACTTGGCAAGAGATAGCCAAATACAGTGGAGCTATTAAAGGGTACTGGACTCAGTGGGATTCCCTGTATCTTTACGATGGCTTATTGCACCGGAAGTAGGAAAGCCCTGATAGAGTACATGTAGTCCGCCAAGTGGTACTGCCAAAATCACATGTCAGAAGTGTGTTGGAGGAACTTCATTCTAGCCGTTCGGGAGGGCATTTTGGTACTAAAAGAACACTGGCACGAGTTCGGGAATGATTTTATTGGATGAATTGCCGACGGGATGTAGCAGATTGGTGTAAAAAATGTGATGTATGCAATGGCAGGACAAATGTCTACGGATTCGCTCGAAAACAACTGGAAGCCAACAGCGATAAAGCAGAAGCTAGAATCGACAGGCGTGCCACAGGGACACATTTTGAGAGAGGTGACCTAGTACGGCTGTACACTCCCAAGCATAGAGGAGGATTTTGGCAGAAATCGCAACGGAACTGGGAAGGCCCCTACGCCGTCCTTAAGGAAGATCAACGACCTGATCTACCGCATTCAGCTGTCAGCGGGACGTAAATCCAAGGTAGTTCACATTGGGAAGTTAACGCCATGCCGCCAGATCCTTCCCGTTAGCTCTAACCGGGTCCCAGTAATCAAGTTATTCGGGGCGAATAACTAGAGAGGAGGTAGCAATGTTACGCAGCACCCTGTAGCGTGCTGCGGTCGTCATAAGTAAAGGTACGAGTAAATAAAGAAGATAGAATATTCCCGAAATGTCTCGAAATGTCATTCCTTGTCAAATAAAAGTCCAGATTGTTCGAGAAGGTTTTAGAAGGTCGGGGCAAGCTATATAAGTCGACGACCTGACGTCAAGGGGGAGTTTTATGATAAACGTTACATGTTAATGTTATCAGTTGTAAAGTTGAATTGAGTTATTGTAAAGTTGAACTGAAATAAATTGTGATACCAAAAACCAGTGTAACAATATACTAAAAGTCCTGACATCTAAGTGGTGAGCCGGAGGCAGGAGGACACAAAGAAGATCCATCTTTTATCTTTAGGGTTTTACGCTTATATTTCCAAAATATGTTGTAGGGAAAATTTTTATAATAATAAATGAAAGAATACTAAATATTCTAAACACGTTTTTCGAAATATCAACAGATTTCGAACTGCACGCTCCGGAAAAGTGAAAATTTTCAAAAAATAGATTTTTACCTCACATTTTTCATTAAATATTTCTTTATACCATCTCAATTATCCGTCTGAGAAATAAATTCACCTAAAAGATGTTCTAGAGAATTGAATAATCTTGAATTTATATACATATGCCAATTTATGTCCAACTGGTAAAGGTTACACTAATTTTTGTGTGGGTAAGGGACGAATATTATTATTAAAATATATAAGGGAGACATCGATATCTAAAGAGGAGGTAGAGCCTTATCAGTTCAGGTCTTCAGCTTCAAAATTCAACTTTAAGAATAATTGTCCTTTATATGCACATTTTGCAAAGACAAAAACCAAAAATCCCTTGTACAAAAGGAGAGTTGTACATTCAGTTGAGATTCTAACGGTTAAAACTCGTATCAGGAAAACGTGTTCACATTTTTTGATCGCATATCCTCCATTAACGATCTTGTTGCTGAGGAGGCAGTATACTACAAAGACTGCTACTACACTTTTGTAAAGGCTATCCGGTTCCTAACTCCAAAATCTAAGATTCCAGAGACAAGCATGCAAGGCCGAATTTTCGGAGAGCCCCATGCCTCTCCTCTCCGAAGCCGCCCTTGCAAGCATGTCATACAGGCTATGGAGATATTTGTCTACAGGAGGGAAACATCGATTTTCAGTTCTTCAAAGATGAGATGAAGGGAGTCGCAATAGGAGCCAAACCCAGGTGGCCAACCATCAAGGCTAAGTTGGGAACTGTGTGGATAATAGATTCAGTATGCCGGTGGTATGTTTTAGAGACACTTGGTATGAAGCATAATACGAAAACAAGGCAAAAATTGAAGAAGAGGAGAGGGTTCAGGATTATTGTTAAACATGGAAATTTTACGGTAAAACATTTAGCACAGACACATACCCACCCAGCGACGACTTCTTGAAGAATTCGCAGTTGCACAAATGATAGTTGTGGCTCAGGAATGATAAAAACAGCTTTTTCTGAAAATGAAATTTTTCGAAACCTTTTAAAATTGGTGTAATTGTTGACAAGTGGAAAATAAATTGTTCATGTACATATATACTTAAAGGGAATTCAATTTTCTACAACTTTCCTTAAGTATTTATTTTGGAGATAAATGGTTTAGACGATATAAAGGAATTTTTCATAAAAAATGTCAGGTAATAATCTTATTTTTGAAAATTTTCCGGAGCATGCAGCTGGAAATTGGTTGGGATTTTAAAAAACTATGTAAAACAAAAGTTGTAGAGAATTTTATGAGATTTTATTTAGTATTGGAAAATAGTTTCCCTGCACCGCCTGTTTTTGAGATATAAGTGAAAAACTTAAAAGTGGAATCTTCTTTGTGTCCTTCCCCCTCCGGATCACCCGTTAGACGTCAGGACCTTTAGTATGTTCACTCCCTAGGTACCCTAAATAAATTTCTAAACAAATCGCTTAGGTACCTGCTCACGCAATCCATACCTCCTCTATTGAGTGGACTACTGTCAGTTTATTTTCCTCCAAATTTTAGGCAAGTTTCAATAGCTTCCTAACATATACTTCGATCTGAAGATTTTCTTTACCAAACCTTGAGATTAAACTATCGAAAATTTTTTGACAGTTATCTGCAATCCTTGGAAAACTATTTACTATTTGTCTTGCTTGGCTAAAGTAGTTTGGATCAAATATTCAATTTTATCTTCTTGAGCTATATCAATATCTTTATGAACTTTTTAAATTGTGACCAAAATTTACACCATTCCCTAATATCACCATTATATGTTTTAAATTCAATAGGAGTTAACTTACATTTACTCTTACATGCTTCAGACCTGACATTTGTAACTGGCTGCTGATGTTATGGCGTTTTCCATTGACATTGACAGTACGCACTGATTGTATTTGTGTCCTTCTTTATCGATATGGAAAAGAAGAAAGTGAGAATGAATCGAAGTATGTGGAGAATACACCAATGAACTCACATACTTTGATTTTCTCTTACTATACGGAGAATGGTCGCACTGCGCAGCTTTCTGAGTGCCTTTTAAAAGGAGATAGAAAACTCTGCCATTTTGATGCCTTATTACGTGTTTCCTACATCTTGGCGCAATATTTTTAATAGGTGCATTTTAATCATCCGCTTCTGCTTCGAAATTGTCGGTTTTCTTGTTTTAATCTGACAGGTTAAAACGACTACCGATAATTACGGAAGCAGAAGCCGGATGATACCTGATATTTTGCTTGCTGCTGTCAGTGTCAGTGAATATTATTTTTCGAGTCACAGTTTATTGCTAAAGAATCAGTTAGCTCACTCGGACCAGTTGAAAGTTCCAAAATAACATCCACTCCAGGGATACAAATTCAGGATGCGCAGAAGACTGCTTTTTTATTATAGGCAGTTGTCATATATTTTATTATCCAAGTTGCGCAGTGTATAAACTGGAACATTGAGATCAAAAGTGCCAACGCACTCGCGAGTATTTATAATAACCATTTTCTGTTTCACATTGTTATTGTTCAATCCACAAGCTGGTGGATCAGACAATAACAAAGTGGAATAGAAAATGGTTGTTATAAATATTCCCGAGTGAGTTGAAAAATAACCTCTGTGCTCATAGAGTCACATCTCAAGCCTATTAACAAGCATTCTACGCCACTTCAATTCATTGGAATACACTCAAAACCACATACTTTGATTACTATACGGGGTAAGAGAGAGGTCCGACACGCCCAACATAGGACGCGGCCATTTTGAACCCTATGACACAGTTTATAGCTAAAAAATCAGATCGCTCACTCTGCGTCGGCACTTTTTATCTCAATGTTCCAGTTTATACACTGCGCAACTCAGATAATACAATATAATGACAACCGCCTATAATAAAACAGCAGTCTTCTGCGTATCCTGAATTTGTATCCCTGGAGTGGATGTTATTTTGGAACTTTCAACTGGTCCGAGTGAGCTAACTGATTCTTTAGCAATAAACTGTGACTACAAAAATAATATTCACTGACATTGACAGCAGCAAGCAAAATATCAGGTGCGTTTTAATCATCCGCTTCTGCTTCCGGAATTGTCGGTTCAGTCGTTCTAACCTGTCAGATTAAAACAAGAAAACCGACAATTCCGAAGCAGAAGCTGATGATTAAAACGCACCTAATTAGGCATTCCAAACTGAATGACTACCAGTGGGTTTTGACAGGTTATGATGTGGCAAAGTTATGGCAACTCTGTATGCCTGGTGATTTGACAAGGTGAGTGAAATAGATAGTTACATAGATTGATCATCCCTATTTTTTAAAATAAACATAAGCTTATGCCTTGAAGTAAAAATATAAGCAATTATTATGTTTTAAATATCTAAAGTCTGAAAATTGGTTTTAAAACACATTTTTGCTAAACTGATTCAAATTAATAAATATTTGCCAGGCAATATGGCTGCTCGCAAACGACCAGCTTTGAGCAATGTATATAACATATATGTATCATTGACCCTGTTAATGACAATATAACAACAAGGTTGCCATATCTTAACTGTCAGTACCATTGATAAGGCAACGTAAGGATACGTCATATGTATTATTTTTGATATAGAAAAGTGGGACCGGTAGGCGTGGCTTTTGCACTCACTAAAATGGCGGAAGAGCAGAACCGGATTTACAAGTTTTTATTGAACTATTTCTGGTTAAATATCATTATTTGAACTATAAAAAAATTAATTTCCTTTTTATTGACATTGACTTAAAAGGTAGTGGAAGGCCGAGGTTATAAAAGAAGGGGGGTTAAAATCTTAAATATGACCGGTTTTCAGCCGAAAAGTGCTAAATAAAGTAAATGAAAGAAATAAAATATAACTGATTTAATTATCACTCAAGTGGCTATTAAGCGCTGGAGAATATATTATTTGCAAAATTGCAACTAATCAATGACCATCATATAACTAACTTAGGGCCGATTCCACCATTGGGTTTAACGAAGTTTAAAATGACATTTTTACATAAAATTTAATTTTAATCTTCAATTAATAGTTTAAACTTTAACACAATGGTGGAATTAACCCTAAAGCGTTGAAATCATTCACAGAAAAAATAAATAGTACATTTTTGGTTCACATAAGCGACAAAAGTAAATAGAGTTCGATTTATTGGATCAGTCGTCACACGTTTGCACTAGGGCACATGAATAGCTCATTCTTTAGTTTTTCATTTTTCTATGAGCCCAATGCTTTTGTCTTTATCGGAAAGTACAAGGTCGCAAATGTCAAGTAATCTAACTATGGAGGAAGAATCTAACCTTACTTTAATTAACAGCTTTCTCGAAATTAAGAACAAATGTTCATACACTAAAAGCTCGATAATCAGATATGAAACTTAATGCAAGGCTCGCGGAAAATGGCTAATAAGCAATCTCTGTGTAGGTAGATGCACTATTCAGGAAATCAAAATGTGGATTAATCTTACTTGGTCTTGGTACTTTTGTAGATTCAGACTGAAAGGTGTATATCTTCATGCAAGACATTCAGTAAATCAACGAAGCCACAACCAGCGGTGTGCAGGTGCACTTCTAACAAATGTAAAATATGAAGTGATCTTACTTGAGACCTATAGATCCAATGACGATAGTATGGTAGTTGGTTTGAGCTGGGCTTCTCACCATCTGCAGAGATTATGGCTACTTATGTAAAGGCCTACCCTAATAACACACAACATGCACCACAAGCGTGCCGGTCCAATTTAATTGGTCTATGCACAATAATCATGCATGTATAATTGAAAGTCAGACAGAGAATGCGAAGATAAAGTTGAAGTCTCAATCATAATTAAAGTCACAGATGAAGTTAAAGTTAACAGCAAAAGAGTTGAAATTGTAGGATGGTGATAAAGGGAGGCCAACATCTAGGTAATAAATGTTTTATTGAGTTAGGAAAAGTATCCACTGTGCTTTTCTTAACCACTAAGGTAAAAACCAGAATATTTTCTAATACACAATTTCTTCGCTAGGCAAAATAAGAAATAAATTTGTGAGAGTACTTCCCAAGTGTTTTTCCAAAAGCTCTAAGAACAAAATTGACGAAAATGGCCTAATCCAAGTTCAAATTCTAAAACTTGAACATTAAAGATAAGTATCTTACTGTAAAACAAGTAAAACCCCGTTGTTGACTAAATGGTTGAATAATTCATTACCTAGGTGGAGGTAGAACAGGGACTAGAGTTTAGCAGAAAAAGCTACTAGAAAAGGTGAACAAAACAAACTGGGGCATATGAACGTCAAGCAAATATTGTAAATGCAAATAATGTGTGCTGTGATTAAATAAAAGTGTACAAGGAATAAAGTTTTAATATTTTCTTATCCATATCTATGAGTGATATTTATTTTTAATACTAGACAAACGGTTATGATTTTATTGCTAGTCTCATTAAAAAAAGACTAATGTTATTTTTTTTTTCGACTTATGGCCAAGGTGTATATACCTAATATGCCAGTCTCAAGCTTGTGTTTAAATTCTTAAAAATTGTGTTCTGTGTAGGCTTTGTTACTGTTTCCCAGCGCCACTTCAGGAACAGCACTGTTAATTATTAGAACCCAACAGTGAATGGTCGAGTGGAGAATCATACCAAGGCATTAGAAAATATTTTTATTATTATTAGAACTTATATACAGTGTGTTCATAATATGCACTGTACAAACTTAAATATTATATTCCTGAATTCATTTCAAGTATAAAATGTCCTATGAACAAATATCCAATTCTACATGGTTACCAAGCTGCAAGAGTTTAAATATCAAAAGATATATTAACACAGTATGCCATGTGTTCCAATATGTCGAAACACAGCACTGAATGTTTGGTGCTTTGGAACTTGTCAGTATGGAAATCGTCGCTTATTGAGGAGCTGGATAATCTCGAGGTTTCCATGTTGGAGCAGTCGTTGTTGGTGACTACTGGCAAATGTTTGTATTGTATTTTCAACAGTCTCCACTTTAAGGTTCCTATGAAGATCAGTATTGTGGCAGTACCATGGTGTATCGACGATGTTCCTTAATATTTTATTCTGGAAACGTTGAATAACTTCGATGTCACTTTTACTGGCACATCCCCAAAGCTGGCGAATCGCTTCATTTTCACCAATTCCTTTAAACGCACTAATCTGAAACAAATTATAGGTAATTAAAAAGGTATATTAATATTGTTTTAAATTAACTATAATAAAACAAATAATACTCATGCATACACAAAACATGAAGCTCTACTTTTCAATCAGCTGTAGAACTAATAAATAAAATTGGTGGAAGGACCGCAAATGTAGGTTATATTTAAATAGAAATAAGAATATATAAAATGCCTATAAATTTGATAAACGAAATAGCGTACGATTAATGTACTTCTCAAGAAAATGCTTGGAACACATACAGCTGAATTTAGAAGGTTCCCAATTATGCTTCTTGACAAACTGTATTCACGCGATACGTTTTTCAGGATTTTTTGGAAATCTATAAATATTATTTCGTATGAAAAAGTATTTATTCCAATATAGGTGGGCCCAAAAGTTGATAGATGATTTTTTTGCATTTTTAAAAGCATACTTTTACACATTTTATACAAACCTGTCATAATACTGTCCTGTATAATATTTATAATTTTGATACTAACCTATGAAACGTTATTCCAGTCGATTTTTCACAAAAACGTCTATCGCTAGAGCAGGAACATATAACACAGCAAGGCATTATATACTTTATAAGTTTTTAACACTCAAAATTTGCTCAAACACAAATTAAATTCAAATTTAATAACACAAATGACACTAAAATATAACCTATAAAATTTGACAATTTGCACTCACAGTAATGGC